GAATGTGTATTCGCGATAGAATTTTTAATTGCAACCAATCGGTGTATCGTAAATTTTTAGTAAAACTAAAGTATTCGCTATTCATAGAAACGTGAACTGTTCGAATTAAAGAGAGTACGTCTTAACGAATAATTAAAAGCAAAAATATCCCCGAGGCCCGGCAACCCTTTACACACTGATCGCAGCGTAAGGCAGGTCAGGAGACGAAGGTATCGTCATCGTCAAAAATAACTACGCGAGTAAATACTTCTCACTACTACAGTCAGTCGTGCGTGGTTATTTTTGGCGGTGACGGTACCCCAGTCTCCTGACCTGCCGTACAGCGGCCGTGTATGGACGGTTGCCGGGCCTCAGGCGTATTTTAGCCGATGCTTTAACTGCTTATAACTAAAAAGGGAGGTCTCAAACGGAATTTCGTTACTCTTGATTTTCCTCGTATTTTGGCTCGTAGAATCATCCCTGAAAATTTCTTCCACCGGATACCCGATACCCTGTACCTCTATATCTATATCTACATCTATATCTATATCTATATCTATGTCTATATTTATATCTACAATCTGTAACCTGCACTTATATCTATGTCTATTTCTATGTTTGTTGCTCTCTCTAATATCTATATACCTTCATGTCCATGCCATTGTATCTACGTATATCTATATCTATCTGCATCCATATCTATGTATCTATTATCTACATCTACACCTGTATCTATTTCTATATCTGTTTCTGTAAGTCTATATCTATATCTACTTATGCCTGTCCCTTTATACGTATATATGTACGTGCTACATAACAATCGTGTACAGTTTTCTTTCGCTTTCTTGCCCCATTACGTATCAGCTCTTTTTTCTTGATATCGTACGAACGAAATGTATACATACACGAGACCTTAACCCATTTCTCCCCATTTCCACTTTCTTCACTCTTTCTTTCTCTCTCTTTCTCTCTCTCTCTCTTTCTCTACTCCCTTCTGTCTCTAACCCTTTCTTTCTCTTCCTCTACGTCTATTCTCGCTTCACACACGGCTTAAACGAAAGAGTCGTAACAGATTTTCCTAAAGTGTCGCTGAGTTTCTCTCTTTTTGCCTCATTTATTAATTTTACCCTTTTGTCTTTTCTTTTTATCTAATCCTCGCGAGTATTACGCCGCCTGTTCTCGCGATCGACGGCAGAGTAGAGACTTGTTTGTCGCGCGATTAACACCGTTCCGTGTCAGCCGACGAGGAGTTAATCGATTACACGGATTACGTTGCGCCCGTTATCTTACCCTCTTTTTTTTCCTGTTTTTTTTTTATAATAAATAACCGCGTCACGTTGTTATGCCCGTTCCTGAGATATCGCGGCGAGAAAAATCGGAATGAAACCGACACAGTCGAGTAACCGTTCTAGAAAAATAAAGAAAAAAAAAAGAAGAGAAACCGAAAAACATGTTGTGAACACAGAGAGAAATTCGCGATTAAGCGGGTGAAAAGAACGTTCGTAGAGAAAAAAAAAAAGGAACGCGCGACAATTGTATACCACCAATCGTGATATTTTCTTTCCATCTGTCTTCCTGTTTTCTTTTCGTTCCTCTCAACTGTCATTCAATAGATTTAGCGAATCAAGAGTTCTAAGCTAGTTCTTCCAAGTAGATGACAAAGTCGATCGATTCGAAGCAATAATAAATAGCAGACCTTACAGAAAAATCTATCATTTCGGTTCTGTTTGTGATTAATTAGACACATCTTTTTGATCTATCAATCGTCTCGTAAACTATTAACGGAAGTTACGCCTGTTGTCTGTACTGGCTGTTTTTCTCTGTTCCTTTTTATACAGATCTTGACACAGGAAGACTGGAACGTGGTGTTGTTCAACGGTATGCAGAAAACGTCCCACTGGGCGGCACTTTACTTCGTCGCGTTGATGACTTTCGGAAACTATGTACTTTTCAATCTGCTGGTTGCCATACTTGTCGAGGGATTCTCTTCGGAGGTATCCTAATTATTATCCGTCGTTTATGCATCCGATCGTGTCTCACCGGTGAATTACGAAATCTTCCATTCGCCTAAATTTCGTGCGAAATGTACACGTGTCGAAAATTTCGATATTTCGTTGTTATAAATTATTTGTTATTCTTGTTGAAAGAATTTAAGATCCTTTGGTAATTGTCCCGCTATTCTACGGTGACACTTTTGTTCGGAGATATTTATCATCCAGCAACTAAAGTTTCTTGACGATGTTACGATTTCTTTTTTTTGCGAGTGATTAATTATCTTATATTCGGAATTTTCTTTTGGAAACTGTGTACAACGGAACAGGATTATGTATTAGGGTAAAATATAGCTCACTGTGGATAATCGAGATTTATATATAATGATACGTTCTCGATTTTGCGAATGAAATTCTTAATTCTGTGGAAATCTTAATTTTTTAGAATTCTTCGTTCTTTAGAATTCTTAATTTTCCAGAATTTTCAATTGTTCTATTTTCTCTGAAAAAGTCGGAGAATAATTGCAACAGAAAGAACTAAATCGACTTCGAATTGCGAAATCAAGTTCTTGTCTGTAACTGCTTCAGTGGGTAAATTGATTGACATTCGATAAAGTGGTTTTCTTCTATAAACCTATCAATTTTACATTCGACAATATTTTCTATTTTTAATCTTACTACATTTTATTTTATAAATGATTAACGTTTAGAATAAAATAAATTATAAAATATTTCTCCTCTGTGACATTTTTTTTTCCATTTTAAATTATATCGCAGTAATCAATGGGTGTCGATAATAATTTCTCATCGTTAGGTAATTCTTTTTCAATTAGGTATAGTAAGATGCAAAATATCGATACACTTTTGCAGAGAAATGAAAGAAGGGAGCGAGAACAAAGAGAAATGGCCAGACTTGCTGCGAAAGAAGCTGGAATGGATAGCGACGATGGATCATCCAGAATATCGAGATCTCATTCGTTCACCGATAGTGATACTTACACTCAGGTAAATTTATTCAACGTATCAATGAAAATCGTAAACAAAATAATATCGGTAATATAATAACATTAAAAAATTTTCATATTTTGCAAAAAATAATTTTGGTATATTTCTTTATTTAATGAAAATAAATGCACTGTCCCGAGTAAAATAATTATTTGCATAAAAACGTCCCCTTATTTACCCGATGAAATTTTCTCAATTCCACGATCGACTGACAGAGATAAAAACTAAACCGTAATAACCGTAGGATCGAAAGAATTCGTGGCAGAGTGCCGAGGATTTGCGCAAGTACAAAGACAACAACAGCAGGGAGAAGCAGAACACTATGTGGAAGCATCAGATAGATGAGCCGAAGTGTAACATTCAGAAGGAAAATAAAATGATGGGTGCAGCGGGACAACCACCGATAATTACCCATACAGCAGCTACTCCTCAAGACTCGCCTAACACAACTCTCGACGTGGGCTACAGAGATCTAAATTACAGAGCTGTTTATCCGACTGCGGCACTGTCGATTGAATCTATCGATCGTTCAGGTGTACGTATGCTATTATTATCTCTTTTTTTTTATCTTTTGAGTAGGAGAAAGCGGAGTAATTCCGGCCACTTCCTTTTAATTCTGCTCCATCCTTTTTCTTCCAACCAGGTCTCCATTAACACCACGATATCCCATTCTTTCAGGCTTCCCCAGAATCTTTTATCCTTGTTTGTCATTCCTGCCACATTCCAGAAACATATTTTCCATCCTTCCTCCGCCCCATCTCTCTTCCTTCTTTCTCTTCCCTTCTCCCTCCCTTTTTTCCTTCCGCCTGTTTGTCTCTGCCCATTTCTTAAGTCCTCCTACCTCTTCGTCCCACTCCCACCATTTTCCTTCTATCATAATTTTGCCATATTTTATCCTTGTCCTTCTCCCCTTCCTCCCCTCCACCTCCGCTATCCTCTTTAGTTTCCATTGCATTCCCCTTTCCTGGAATGTCATGTCATCATCCTCTGTCCATTCATTCTCCCCCTTTAATTTGTCCTTGTTCTTCATAATGCTAATTTTTTGCTCGAGTTTCGTCAATTTTACCACGATCATATTAATTCCGGCCACTTTAATATCTGAAAATAAAAAACACGTGAATTGACTTTGTACGGTGCTGCCACATGGTAATGATGCAACTACTTAATATTCATCGTTTCTGTGACTATAGCAGCCTTTGATTTTAAACAATATCTGAATGTTCATTTTGCAACGAAACCTTGTAACAGTGGCCAATTTTCAAGCAAGGTAAATTAGTACTTGGAATCGACACTTCGAGCTATCAGTTAATATCAAAAAATTACCAAATGTGTAACTTATTCAAGTTTTATAGCGTTTCTTGTTATTTTGGGGTGCTGGATATTGTCGGAAATATATATGCAAAGATATACTAAATAATATTATATATGTATTCTTAATAGGATTACATTACATCGCAGCGCGTTGGAAAAACTTGATCTGTATTAGAGCTATTGAAAATCGGGAGGCGGGCCCCAGAAGCGCCACCACCGTGCTAGACGGCGTTGATCGTATTGCTTACCGATTGCGAGCAGGGCTTCGCCTTTACCGACAGATTCACATTTCTTACTTATGTAGCCGGAATTATCCCGCTCTCCCCTACACAAGAATAAGTAAAATCTTAAGAGGTCTTCCTA